GCAAAGTTGTAAAAGACCTCGAAGACATTCCTACACATAGAGCAACATTAGGAGTATGAGTTGATCAATTCTTTAGAGTGTGTTTCTTTGAGGTTGTAACATGTTGAGCTTTTCCTTTATTTCCTGAAAGTTCAAATATTTAATAATGAGAAATAATCTACCTTTCATCTCTCCTACCACATACTTATAAAAGAGTGTCATTTTTAATATTGTCTTGATGCTAAAGTTTTATAAAAAAATGAATGACTACAAAGAGAAAAAAAGTAACATTTTTACCACTGTGTGTCTACCAACTTATCTTTTATAAAAAGACTTCTAGAGGGCAAAGTCCTCATTCTTGGTGATATCACTAATCTTGGGGTAGAACATTGTTTTGAAGTTATTAATAATGGTTGCATGTTTGCACTTGATATTTAAATCTCTATGAAAATTTTATCTGATGTTGCGATAATATTGACTTTGACATAGTTTATGATATAGAAAGAATCAAGACATTAGGTTTAGAGAAGAATACCATCATTTGGAAAAAAAAGAAATTATTTAAGAATTATAAGAAGATAATTGATAAAAAAGAAAAGTTTCCTTTAAAGATATTATAAAGCTTAGAAAGTGAATAATTTATGTAATTCTAATTTTTCATCAATTGTAGTATTACTTACTGAAAGTACCAAGTGCATCTGACTTCTCTCGCTCAATTGCACTATCATATTATGATGGTACTAGATTTTCAACTTGTTTCAATTGAGATCTTTAGATGGAGGCACGTATATTTCCAAACAAATGATCTTCTATATTTTCATCCGCCCATATGTCACTATCCAATGTATCATTAGATTCCATTGACCTTCCTGTTTCTTTTTGAATTCCTAACAATAAGGAAACATTTACTTTCTTGAATCTCCTATTTACGTTGGTTAATTCTTCAAGATCAAGAACAACTACAATAACATCACAGATCTTGTTATTTTTTTAGATTTTTTCTAAATAAAAGAATCAGATGTGTATTTATATAATGATAACATACCTCCGCTTGTGAAGAATGCATTATCCCATGCCATGCTTTTGCACAAATTATACTTACCAGAGGTATATTATGTCCTATCTTTTGGGAGTCAGATAGTGTGGCGACTTCTTCAACTTGCATGTCAAAGTTTGATAGATTCTTCATCACCAATGTATTAACCTTTGAGTGATCTAGAGACATAAATATGTCAAATGAAATATAATTTTCTAGATAATTAAATAAAAGTTAAACAAATTTAAATAGTAAAATTAGTCTATGGAGTTAGAAAACTTAAATGTTTATGAAACATGATAAAAGGTATTGCTTCTAGCATGCTCTTCATCATCAATACATTAAATAAATCATGAATTTTATTTTAGTGTTCACAACTTCAAGTTTGTTTTTTAGAAGTCATAACCTGCATGACAAACAAGACTTTCCACATAAAATATGATATAAATATACCAACATCACACATTGAAAGCTTATTTTATAATCATCTTTTTATAGAACTTATTTATAAAAATTATTCATTCATCTTTACCCTTGGTATTTTCTATTGTCATTTGTTTGCCTTGAAATAACAATATCAAAAGGTAGTTATTTCACACCATATGTTATTTCTTCAAATTAATTATTATTAGAATGACTTTAAAAAATGGATCATTTCTCATATGAAAGAATTCATTATTAATACTTGTAACTAATTTGCAACACTAATATGAATTTCTTTATACACTACCTCTCTTCAATAGTTGCCATTGAGCACATCATAGCAAGGAAGAAACTGCATATATCAAAGATTATTTGTTTGAATTTGACTAGACAGTTGTCTTGCATAAATATATACATCCTTAGCCATCTTCTTAGAAATACTCTCATTAAATAGTTTATCTTTTAGAATAAAAATAAAATAATTTTACTAATAAATATGATTATAAATTCTACATGTTATTCTCTTGCCTAAGATCAATTTCTCTCTTAAACTTATCAAAAACAAATGAAACACAATAAATCGAAGTAGAATTCTCCCAAATATACTACAAAAAAGGTCTTAACCTTGTACTATAACACCAAGGTGATGTAAGATGTTTATAATTTTCAATCTATGAATTATTTTTTGATGGTAAATATAAGATATTGTACATAAATATTATAATCGTGAGAAGATTATACTAAGCCATTTACTACTCACTTGAATGAAATAATTATGTCATATGATATATATGTTACAAAGAGCAAATTTCAAGTAGTCAAATGGTCATAACCAAGCAAACTATCATTTTCTAATAGTTACTAATGTATATAAATTCTCCATGCTGACCTTAAAACACCTTCGTCCCTTACATGACCTTATAAAATTCAATCAAAAAATAGTCAAAAACAAAAGTATGTTGATATGGACAAAATGCTATGTACTCGCAATTGAAGAATGACATCAAATAATCTAGTAAATAAGGAAAAGGTAAGAATAAGGAAATGATAACTCAAAAACATCTCAATAAAGAACCAAGAGTCACCTTAATAACCAACATGTCCTGAAGAATTACACCACTCAAAAGTGACTCACCTAATGACTTAGGGACATTATTGGAGCGTGCGATGAACTAGTCCTCATAGATAACATCGACTAGTGAAAAATCCTCTCCATATCTCCTCCCATTCAGAGAAGTTGCAATAAAATAGGCTAATGGAGGAAAGAACTAAATAAAAAGAACCACATAGAGGAAATAAAGGAACAAATTGTTGCAGCGATGATGATCCCATAATCCTCACCCTGCGTTTGATGCAGGACAAGGTAATGAAATACTAAATTACCATAGACCAGTAACCTAGACTTGACTCTCACATTAGATCTAAGAAAATCTATGAAGCTTGATTAAGTAAGAATTGAAAGTAATTAGATTAATACGATTAAAGAATCATTAAAGATTAGGGTGCGCTCCACAATCAATAAGTCATAAGATGTGAATCAAGTGGATTTTCACTCATCACTAACTATCAATTATGAAAATAAGCGAACCTATTAAGGGATCACACAATGATAATAATACGATAAATATCCTAAATGAACAAATAACTCATATATGGAAAGACAAGAGCTTAGACATAAACCTGTTGTCAGAGCAGGCGATTGCTTGATGGATGATCACAAGAAGAAGTTGATAGTTAACTTCGTTGACCGTTGACTATGTTGACCTGGCTGTGACCGGGTGGTTTCGAAGCCGTCGAGGCGGACAGGCACGGGCAAGGTGGCGCGGAAGGATTCGGACCAGTGGGACGGGCTGGTGTGATCCGATGGTCTGATATGGTTCGGATCGTGATGACGATTGGCTCGGACCAGTCGGTCGAACCGGTTTGGTCCGGCAGATGGGGCAGTCGGATCGGCGATGGTAGCGGTGATGGTAGCGGTGGAGGTTAGGAAGAAACGGCAACGGCGGCGATAGAAGGCAGAGACGGTGGCGATAGAAGGTGGAGACGACGGCGACAGCGTCGACGGCGGTGGAAGGTTGCAGGGATGGAGACAGCGGCGGAACGGCGGAGGCAGAAGTCGGACGGTGGCAGCGACGGAACGGGCGGAGGCGGAGGTAGTGATGGTGGCAACAGATGGTGCAAGCGGCAGCGGAAATGGTGGCAACGGATGCGTATGTCGGTGGCGGCGATCGCAGGGGAAAGTGAGGCAGCGGCGAAGGTGGGATGTGGTGGCGGGTAGATGGTGGCCCTCACGGCGTCTCCTTCACGGAGCGAGAATGCACGACCTTCACGGTCGCTCCTTCACGGAGCGGTGATGCACGGCCTTCACAGCCTCTCCTTCGCGGAGCAAAAACAGGTAGATTTCTCTCAAATTCTTCTCTGCTCTCGTAGTAGGATTGCGAGAGTATTTATAGAGTTCAGAAACCAAACAAATTACGGAACTAATAATAAAGAAAATCGCTCCTAAATGTGCTCCGCCAGTGCGCTGTGGATGCGGACGCAAGTTTCTTCTTTTCGCTCCTCACCACTCTGATTTCTAACGGAAGAACTCGCGTCTCAATGATCGCCGTGATGCTCGTCGACTGCTTATTTATGCCGCCAATTTGAACCATCACCAACAGGAAGACGACGGACCAGCGAGGACTTAATCGGGTCTGCTGTTCCCACGGACCACTTTAAAGACTGTCAATTTAGCCTATCACATTCTGTTTAATCATCTCTTTCCCCCTACTAGAGAGAGACGCATCAAGCAAAGACATTACAGCATTTGTTTAGTCTACCACCCCCTTGAAAATATTCTATTTAAAAAAAAACTTACATCGGTAGTAAGTAACCACAGCCCAGTAACTGAGATTAGCCCAGTAACAACAGCCCAGTAGTGTCCTCCGGATCTCAGACCATGAACGGCTATCCCTAGGAATCCGACATGCAAGACCTAACCGTTAGGCCGGTCCAACGCTGTGTCTGCTGATCGTTCTCCTCGGCAGCGGCATCGGGGAGAGCGGAGGGAGCGGTCGCCTGCAAGGTTTCTGGCTTTGGGCGACCACCCGGTCCCCTCTGCTTGTGACAGAACTCGGTTCCTCCCCCCACACCACCGTCTTCCTCTGCTAGCCTCTGCGGCAAGAGATTCCATGCCGCAGTCTCGGCGACGGCGAAAGTCCATCGCAGCAGCGATGACAGTGCCCCTCCGGCGGCTGCGCGCTCGTACTCGGCAGCGGCCTTCCGGCGCACTTCACGAGGCAGCGCCGCCCGCTCTAGGGAGGAGCTAGCAGACCGGCGGTTCTTCTCAGTCGCAATCATGAAAAGAATCTTGGGCAAATAGTGGGAACGATGGCGAGGCTGCTAGATCGATAGAACCAATCGGGATTCACTCAGGAGGAAAGAATTCGATTTTCTTTTCGTAAGCCCAACACACAAGCCAAAAAAAAATTATAACAGAAAGGAAGCACTGTTGAAGAAAGAAAGAACAACTCTCAAACAGAGGGGACGAGATTGGACACCACAGTGGGAGAAACCAGTCATTCTAGATGAGGAAGCTGTTGACAAGACCGTGCTGCCAAGTAGAGCCAAGCCCATTCCAGTACTCCCTTCCTGCTTCCACCGTCACGTCCCCGTCGACCGCTACTGGCCACTGGAGGCCCATGAGTAGCCTGCTCGTATCGCCCTCCACCCACCTGTACGAAGGCTCCTGCTTAATGGCAGCCGTTGCACCACTCAGCATCTCGAATGGCAGCAGTCCCTGCCCGTCCAGGCCGTAGTAGAGGCTGCTGAAGGAGCTTAGGCTGTCGTCGAGAAAGCCTGGCGCTTGTTGAGGCATGAAAGAGTCATAGTGATGATCATCCAGTCCCCGCTGGCCTGTTGGGGGCGGCTTCTGGAGCCTCGCGAAGGCGAGGGAGAGCTCGTTGTGGTCGAATGTGAGGGGAGGTGGAGGTGGAGGGGGGAGGGTTTGGAGAAGAGGCTGGTCTTGGGTCTTCTTCGAGGAGGATCTCTTGTTCTTCCTGCACCCGCCCCCCACGGGAACGTTCCTCAGGGTGCCTCCTTTTGTCCAATATCGCCTACAGCCCTTGCAGAAGTACCTCGGCTGAGAGAGGCTGTAGTTGTTGTAGTAGCAGAACTTGGTGTTGGTGGAGTCGCACCTCGGGCATCTGAGGGCCTGCTCTGGCTGAGGCCGGGGTCTCCGGTCCTGTTGCTGCGACTGCGGCGGCGACGGGTTGGTGCACCCAAACACTTCTTCTAGCAGGTGACTTCCCATTGCCTGTGAAGGATGGACACAAAGCTGTCGATGACAATTTGAGAATCGTTCAGCGGTAAATCCATTAGGGTTTTCATTCTTCTCTTTTGTCTGAAAAAAAAAAGGACCAAGAGAACCAGCTCCTGGTCCTCTCCTGCAAATTTCATGTTCCCTACGATCTTTCATGTTCTGATGAAAAACTGCAGGATGGTCCCTCCGGCTTAAGGTGACGATTGTTCTCGAAAGAAGAAAAATCAGAAAATAAAACAAATAAAAACAATTCCGATCATCCCAGGCATAACCAGTTGACACAAGAAACAAAGACAGGGAGAAGGGCGGATCGCGGAGACGGATTGGCCAGCAACTTGTAGCACGTTGAAGGTGACAGAAGGTAAAAATTCCTAGCAGAAAAGACAAAGACTTTTACTGCTGAAACATTCGCAAAACGGACCGGCGGCGATTACGGAGGGAAGGAATTCGCCAAACGAGATGAATGAGCCACAACCATCTTCAAAGGGAAACGAACAAACGAAAGGAAATCCGGCACGAGAAGGAGACACACACCAGAGCGAGAGAAGCCCTACCATTCAACTGCTGCTGGAGCTTGGAAGCCTTCGCCTACGCCGGCGACCCTCTCAAACCAAGCGAGAAATACAGAGAGAGAGAGAGAGAGACAGACAGACAGAAAGACAGACAGACAGACGGACGGACACTTGGAGAAAGAGAGGATCCGAGGGGAATGAAACGCTGAGAGGGGAAAAACTGAGTTCGACTCCGCAGATACATATATACGATCTAGCACCAGCCATGTCTCTTAGAGAGAGAGAGAGAGAGAGAGTAATGATTACTTTCCGTACACATTCCATGGCTTCCTCGCAACTCCGCCCGATCTGCGAGGGACTCGAGAAGCGGCATGGGCGAGGAGTGAATGGGGCCCGCCACCTTGCCAGACTCCGGCCCACGGCTCGATACGTATCCCTTTCCACCAGTCTTCACCCACCATCTGGCAGGAAGAATCGGCGGTCCCCTCGGCTCGGTCCGATTCAACGATTCCTTGGCTCGGACAGCCGTTATCGGGGTCGGTGTCACCCCCCACTTTGAACGCCCCAGCCCGCCCGATTTCAGAATAACAAAAGCTGCTGCCGTCACTCTCCGCCATTGACTGGTCAAACTGGTATCCCTCTGGCGGCGGCCCAGTCAGGTCGGGCCGTACTGACGGGCCGCCGGGTGGAACCAGCAGTGCCAGGTGGCCCAGCCGGTGGGCACAAATTTTCGAATTCCGGTCGTCATGGTCCGCGCCGGCAAGGTGGCGGTCCTGCGGCACAGATGGCGAGACGAGAGGATGGAATATCTCGATTTCCGAGCCAAGGAAAAGAACACGCGCACTGAGGCTTCGGCTAGCAACGGACAAATTAGATGCAGTCACCTCCCGGTGAGTATATTCTCCCACGAGGCTCCGCATCTTCCCCTCCCGTCTTTCCGTGACGTGCGCTCACGACGACGCGAATTCTGGGCCCGTTATTAGGCCTGGGAATCTCCCTGAGAAACGACCGTTTCCGAAAATGGGCCTGCAATAAATAAATGGGCCCGTGCTATTGGACCGACGTGTGTACGGGGGTGTTTATGTTATTAGCTAAAATACATTCCCTTTTGTTCAAAATAAAATCCCGAGAAGGGGAAACAGGGAATAAGACCAAGGAGGGAAAACAGAGCTTTAAAATGGAAAGAAGAAAACCCAAAGTCTCTCTCCAGGACGCCATCACGAATGTGGGGGGGCGGATGCTTAGCGTGGAAGGATCCAGAGGGGAGTCCTCAGTGCGGGGGGGCATGTCTGGCTGGCCCACCTCCCGCGACAGAGCAGCTCCCTTGACAGCGAAGGATCGCGCTCCTTTCCTCTCGTCCTTTCCCGGCAATCTCACAATTCCGCAGCACTCCAAGTAAAGCGCCGGAGCAGCGTCCTCCTGACGGTCTCCCTCCGCCGTCGGCCACTGCATCTCCTCCTCCGCCAACCGGTGATCCGGTACCACGTTTACAGTCGGTCTTCAGGAAAGATGGAGCATCGATCCGCATCACTTCTCTGTTGAGTTCTTCGTTTCCCGATCCAAAACGGCGGTCAATGCATCTAGATTTGCGTTCGAGGGAGATCTGGCCGTCGTCATGGGGACAGATGAGCGCGGTCTCCCACCGCCGGGGAGGAAGGCTGAGAATAGAATATCGCATCTGGCAATTACCGTGCTCTGGGGCAAGTGGAGACTGGGGCCGGGCCTCGTGGACGGTCGGAGTTCGGAGAAGGCGATCTCAGCCGTAGCTCCGCAGCAATACATTTTAAAATTGTTTCTTCGAGACCGTCGGCTTCCTTTTCCAGCGCCGCCTCCGCCATCGAGAGAACCTACACTACGTGACCTCTGACTAGAGAGTCGATCATCACTTCCAGTGAGAGTGAGGGGAGAGAGAGAGAGAGAGAGGGGCGTAACCGACTGCCGAAGAGTGAGGGTGCGCACGTGCGAAAGGCCTTCAGCGCCCAAACCGACTGGTACGACATCACCTTCCTTCATAAATTTCGGTTTTTCACAGGGGCGCTCCAGGGTGTTGGCCGTCTCGTTTTCTCTTCGTTAGTGGACTATTTCGGCTCATCATTACTATCATCGTGTGAAAGGGGGAAGGGCGGGTTCCGCTTTCGACCCTGGGAACTTTTTTAGAAGAAAAAGCAGAAAAGCTGTCAGGTCCGCTCTCATTCTCGGACGTCTTCCAGACTCCTCCCTTTGACGCTCGCTAGGCAGAGACACTCCCCTTCCTCATCGCTCCCTGCATCCCTATCTGGTTCTATCTGGTTTCCCTGAGTCATTGTGTTTGTGGAAATGGAGACGCTCGTCCTACTCTCTCTGCTGTGTCTCTTCATCTCTGGTATTGCCGACGCTCAGATGCCTGGTAAGAGCTTCTTCATCGTAAAACGACCAACTATTTCATATGTTCCTTTTAGTTGGTATTTCGCGGCAATAAGAGCCTCTGACGACTGGCTTTATCGCCCTCCTGTTTGCTGTCTTTCATTGTTTGAAAGTCTGCCTGTGGTGTGAAATTTGATGCCTGCGAGAGTTAGGCAAACTGACCGAACAGGAGTAGGATGTCTTCCGTATTGTTTCTTTCTTACGTTCAGGGGCCTTGGCAGGGAGTACCAATGGGCTGAGAGAAGTTTCCTGTTCTGGAGGTTGGCTAACTTCGATAGTATTATTCATTTAGAAGTGACATAGAGGAGTTCCGACGCGTCCGATCCAAGATGAGGAATAAAAGGTAAAATTGGCTTAGAGGTGATCGTATGTGAACTGCAAGGGGTGGAAACAGACGAGAACTTAGAAATTTTTGTACAAGCGAGTGACAAGGTGGGGGAATGATTTAAAGTTTACTTCGACGTTGAAACGGGTGTTCGACTAAAAGACTCTAACCATGGTATTCAGGTTTTCCTTCCAACACGGCGGTTTATGAGTCGTAAAGTCTCTGCAGGTAGTATTATACTTGTCGTTGGCAGAATGACCCGAAGAATGCTTCTGATTGTTAGTCCATCTATTCTAGTTCTATTCTTACATCCAAGATTATTAGTTTGATTCAATCTTTGGGAATTATCGTGCGATACTAAGTTTCACGTGGATATCTTGGACAAAAGTTAGTTGTAAAAGGGTGAGATTGCATAATCGTAATTTGCACTCCTTGTGACGACTAAATTTTGTTTATGTGTCAGTGATGATGCATATGCTGCTTTAAATAAGATGGATGAGTTTAACATTAGTTTCCTTCTGAAATTGATCTCCCATCTCCACGACATGCTTTTGTTGTACTATAATTACTATAATCGTTCATTAGCTGAAGAAAATAATTGATTAGTTACCCTTGCCTAATGATACGAAGAAATACAAATTGTACATCTAAATGACATTTCGGAAAGTAACCATCTTAGTCATCAGTCGTTCACTGTTGGCGTAGACTTGAGATCACTGGCTATTTAGAGACTGGTCCGTGGAGTAAAATGCCCTCTTTATAATTTTTTGGCTAACATCGTCATCTCTTCTATATTTTCTTGTTTGAGGCAGGTTTTGTTAGCATTGACTGTGGTGGTCGGGAAAACTACACTGATGACATTGGACTTGTCTGGAGCCCTGATAATCAAATACTTTATGGTGAAACAGCTCCTATATCTGTTCCTGGTGAGAACAGGAAGCAATATTCAACAGTGAGATACTTCCCTGCTGATAATAGGAAGTACTGTTATACATTTGGTGTATTAAATAGAACGAGATACCTTGTGAGGGCAACTTTCTTGTATGGGAACTTTGACAACAGCAATGTCTATCCCAAGTTTGATATTTCACTTGGAGCAACTCATTGGTCAACTATTGTAGTTTCTGATGCAAATACTATAGAAATCGAAGAGCTCATCTTGCTTGCCTCATTTCCAACAATTAGTGTGTGTCTATCCAATGCAATGACTGGACGGCCATTTATTTCCACTGTTGAGCTTCGTCAGTTCAATGGTTCACTTTATTATACAGAATTTGAAACAAGATTCTTTCTTGGAGTGTCTGCAAGAATAAACTTTGGCGCGGAGAGTAAAGACTCTGTCAGGTATTGCCATGTTTCTCATCAGAGTCGTTCATTCTGACTGGTCTTCTTCTGTACAAACTAAGAAGATACTTGTCGTTTAGTGCTCTTGATGTTGCTTGCTAAGACCACCCACTTGACTTCGCATTGCTTTTTATTTTAATCGATAAACATTATTGTATGAGTTCTTAGATAAAAAATATAATTTCTCAAGCCAGCGTTGGTTTTGTCTTTTTTTAGCTTGATTCCCTGCGATTTAGATGTGCTTCTTTATCTTACATTTTTGTGCATTGTTTTATTGTGCCTTTATCTAGTATTTCTGAGGGAAATTGCTTAAGGCTTCTCTAGTTGTTCATATTTATGAGTCCTCCAAATGTTATCTTTTTATTTCTTCCTGCTGGGTGTTTGGACCTATTTTGGGGAAAAGTCCCGAATTGATTTCCATTTGGAAACCATTTTTTCAAGAAACAATTTATGGAAACGCTTGCGTTTGCCTAAATCGGCAATATGTTTATGGGTGCTCTTAGTTGTTGATATATCGCTCCTGCTTCTTAAATCCATCAATCCGACTGTAAACTCTGAACAGTAAGGAAGGTCTCTCCCTTTCTTTGTGAATTTTGCCCTTCAGACCCATGATACTGATGGACAGTAGGTTTTAGTGGGAGCGTGTTTGGTATTTAAATTCTATGATACCGAGAACTTGACATGTTGCAGTCATGAGGACATGATAAAGAGCCAGATATATTCGTTAGGCCAGACTAGCAAGAACCGGATGAGAAGCTGGCTGTTATCGTCCTTGAAGCGAAACTTAAGAGGGGGTACCAATTATAGCTGGGCCAATATCTTTTGCTTTTGAGAAAGGAAGTACAAAGTAACGTTAATGGTCTTCTTTTTTTTTGTTAATAAGTTTCCTGGTGTTGTCCCTAATAGCATAATTGTGTATTTTTTTAAAAACATAATTCCATTTTGGAAATTTTCATGTACATAATTCGTATTTCCCATCTAAGCATCCGTGAAATGTTTTCAGTTGGTACCATGCTTTCTTGAGTTTCTAACTTCGAAGGACGGTATAAATATAAATAGCTTGTTTGACTTCCATAGGAGTTCATTTCGGTGTTTAGTTTCCCGATGTCACCGTTATCCCTATCTCTTGTTATGCTTCATCAAGAATACCTTGGTTGAGGGAATAGTTTATTGTTTCAGGTATCCTGACGATCCATTTGATAGAATATGGCAGTCTGATTCTCTAAAGAAGGCAAATTACCTCGTTGATGTTGCTGACGGAACTGAGAAGGTATCCACAAGAATGCCAATCGATGTCAATACTGGTGAAAGACCCCCAGAGAAGGTGATGCAGACTGCTGTTGTGGGTCAGAATGGATCTTTAACCTACCGGTTAAATCTTGAGGGCTTTCCAGGCTTTGGGTGGGCGGTATCTTACTTTGCAGAAATTGAAGATTTGGGTCCAAATGAGGCTAGGAAATTTAGGCTTTTCCTTCCTGGTCCAGAATATTCTCAGAACACAAAGGTTGTTGTCAACGTTCAAGAAAATGCTCAGGGGAAGTACCGATTGTATGAGCCAGGATACGAAAATATATCATTTCCATTTGTCTTGCCCTTTGCATTCAGGAAAACAAATGACTCTTCCAGGGGACCCATCTTGAATGCTATGGAGATAAATCGATATCTGCAGATAAGTGACGGGTCTAGAGATGGTAGCTACCTTACCTCTAGTGCTATCCGCTAATGCCTGTTATTATCTTCTTGGCATTTGCTGGAACTTCTTAAAGATATCCTTTTGGAATTGCAGCTATTGTTATGGCCGGTTTTGTTTCCCATTATGGACTGGCACAATGGGCACAAGAAGGTGGTGATCCGTGCCTACCAGCTTCGTGGTCCTGGGTGCAGTGCAATTCTGATTCCCAGCCACAAGTTCTTTCAGTGTAATTGTCACTAAAATTTGTCCCCTTCTTTTTATTTTATCTGAGTGAGATTCGTTTATTTCAAATTCCTGTAGTCAAGGATTGATGCATGTATTGTCTTTCCCAAATATTTTCACAAATCGCATTACGCTAATGAGATCATGGCTTTGTGCAGTATTCTGTCGAGGAAAAATTTAACCGGCAGTATTCCTTTGGAATTGACACAGTTGACAGGCCTAGTTGAGCTGTAAGATCGGTATCTTTTGTCTTCATTTTGACGTTATACTTTATCCTATTATGTCACTGATCATGTACAACATCAGATGGCTGGATGGAAATGGCCTCACTGGCTCTATACCTGATTTCAGTGGATGCATGAACCTTAAGAGAATGTAAGCGTTTGTATCAGATATCTCAGTGGTATATTTTTTTTTAAGTATCATCGTACTAATTGAGGATTATTATGTCTTTGCAGTCATCTCGAGAATAACCAATTGACCGGTGAATTGCCTTCCTTTCTGACCAACCTTCCAAACTTAAAGGAATTGTAAGTCAAAGAACCAGCTGTCAATCTAAAAGCAGAGTAACCATATGCTAGTTTTGCCGCAGACTGTTTTAATGTACCATCTACTTAGATCTTATGAGTTATGACTTGTCTGGAAAGAGAGGCTACCTTATCTATTTACATAGGCTCGTTTTCTGCCTATCATTTCTTCAAGTCCCTCCAGACTACTGAAATAAAATTCCTAGATGCTCTTTGTCGATGGCTGACTCAAGGCATATAATGTTGATTTGAACTTGCATATGATTTTCTAATTACGTCAAAAGTACCGTCTTGATTCTGTTGTTATATTCATGATGACAGGATGTCTGTTTATTACATACACTGTCTATGATTCAGTACCATATGATTCGAAGTTACTGTCCATGTTTCATTCACAATTTCAGTATTAGCTCTAAATCACCGACCATTTGACTAGTATTTGCTAATGGCGGCAGTCAGTGATAGTTTTCAGTGTCTCACATGACCCTAAAGATTTTTATGTCTTTATTGATTTAATTTTCTTGAGTCCTGGAAAATAGAAGTTTTTGTAATTGTGATGTAATATTTGATGTGCATATGTGCACTTGAAAGAGTGAGGCTAAGAGAGTTGTCATTTATGGTCCCCTAATCAGGTTGTGAGAGGTGATGCAGTGTCTCACTGTCATTCTCCCTATTTTGCTCTGACGTTGAATTTAAATGTTCAAATTAACATATGATTTTCTACCAGTTGTGTACTAGAATGGACGGAGTGTTTTTTTGGAAAGGTGTATTGTGGTGCGAAAGCTTTTAGGTGAAGACAAGAATTATGAAAACAGAAATTATGTTATGAACATTATTCCCTTCTCATCTCATGAAATGGTGAGCATAAAAAGAAAATTAACAATAAACTTTATTCTTCTCCTTCATCTTTGCCAATACAATAAAGTAGGTAGCTTTCATCTTCATTCGTTTGCTCCATTTCTCCACATATATGATTAATGCGCTGATGATCGTTTGATTTTTCACCCAGACACTTCTTATTCATTATCGATACTGTTGGAGCACTTTCCCCAAGTCAATATCCTTGGTCATCCGGACAACCTCTGGACAATGTGACAGCAAGTCTTTGATTTCCGCTTACTCGGATAAGCTTGGATAAATCGGAATATTAACTTTCACTTATCTCTTGCCAGTTCACTATCCTTTTTCCGAAAGTTCATTCTATCAACTAGATGTGAATCAGTGTATACATCCCCCTTATCGAATATCTTTCTTTGCAATGTACTCATATATGCTACTAAGGTGTTGAACGCTTCATGGGGATTTGTCTGGTGGGATGGGGGCATTATGCCGCCCAATTTTTCTATTAGCCAAAAGTTTTGTTCTTATGTTTGCTTTTATGTCGTGATTAGTTCGGAAAGAGCCATGAGCTCTGTTAACAAGGATCTTTAATTGATGCAGGTATGTGCAGAACAACATGCTATCAGGAGTGGTGCCACAAGGTCTTCTCAGTAGGAACATTGTTCTAAAGTGGGTATTATTTTCTCCAGTTGTGAAATATGGGAGAGCAATCTGGTTCTTTTGAAATGTTTATTCTAAGTAAACTGTGCTGAAAAACAAAGTAGCTGAAAACATACTATCAATCGATTTTACATCTGTAAAATAATAAATCTCATCACTGTATTCATAAAATTATCCTGTCTGGCGGATAGTTCTTTCTTCTATAATGGTTTATAGAAAAACTTAATTTTCAAGTCATCCCGTCAGACATCTTATTACTTCTTCAGTTTTAACCTTCCCTGTGACTTGCGGAAAACAGCAAGACCTTTTTTAAGCACCTTGAGGGGGTATTAGTGTGATTCCAGATAATTTTATGGATTTTTCCGTAATTAATCATTTTCCAACCAAGTATGTCTGTCTTTTTTTGTGAGGTCGTTCATATCTAATCCTTTTATGAGAAATTTTTCGTCATTTTATACAGTTTTTTTTATAGTATGGATTGTTTCATAATTCATAGGAATACAATTTTGATTGCTATTAAGATAATGGTAGTGAGTCGTGCATATGGGGGTGAAAGATGATGATTAGTGTATACGCGATGGGCTTAACAAATATCATTCGTTTTATTTGTTTTTTTTTATATTATTTAGGTGGAGAGGCTGATTGACGATGGGCTTCTTTTTTTATGGTGTAATATGGTCTGTCATTAGGAAAAGGAGAGAAGAAATCGGTCTTTATGAAATCTCAAAAACCTACGAACATTGTAAATGATGATATTTTCATCCGAATTAAGAGTGCCATTCTATGATTCTATCGAAACAAAAGAAGATGTTGTCCCAGCATTTTTTTTCTCGTTGTTATATCATGAAACTGGACCACAGTCTGTCCCTATTTAATGGCTTTAGGTAGAAAGTTTATGTTCTATGGAAGATCTTTTTTCGTAAATTATTGGCTAATTAACAGATTTAATCATTACATTATTTGTCTCCATCTCAACTATGCTACATACCAATTGAATAATTCTATTTGTTTCATGTTTCTTTGGTTTCGTGTTAGCTTCTCTGGAAACTCTAATCTTCACGAAGGAAAGGGCAAGAGTAAATCGACCATCATCATACTTGCTGTACTGGGGTCTTGTTTGCTGCTCGTGGTCACGTTTGTTTGTTGCTTGCTTACACTCAAAAGAAAGGAGAAGAAGGATTTCTGTAAAGAAGGTCGCTCAACCTCCCAAGAGACTTCCGTTTCTTGTCACAGGATGGCATTTATCTCGTTCAGAACACTGCTTTTGTGTCATATATTAATAAAATTGTAATTTCTTTTTTCTATCTATAGATGGTTCCAGCGCGGGTCCTCCTTCAAAAAAGCTCATCTCGTATTTCAGTGGTGTTTCTACACAAACGACACACTGCTTTCCATTATCTGAACTGGAAGATGCCACTGGGAAGTTTGAAAGAAGGATCGGTTCTGGCGGATATGGAATTGTGTACTACGGAAAGCTACAAGATGGAATGGAAATTGCCGTGAAGGTTTTGACCAATGATTCCTACCAGGGGACTAGAGAATTCTCAAATGAGGTAGTCTCTTTTTCCTCTCTCTTCCTTTTTTTTTTTTTTGTCTGAGATTTTTCTTTTATTGGAGATTGTCTCACTGAACCAATTAAAGTAAAAAACTTTCAACTCTTCAATAATGGAAGGTTGTTTCTTCGAAATGATAATGGGCAGTATCTAAGGCCCCTTGAGATATCAAGGGAAAATCGAGGATTCCTGCTCTTTCAGTGAGCTGTCAAATATGCAGTTATTTGTGAAATTTATGATTTTTTGTTGGTGTTTTTCATAATCGTATACTTGAAGAGCCAATGGGTATTCGCATGGATTATATATTTGGCGTTTCTCTTTCGACAAATATCATGCTTTCTGTGTGGGTCTGCCTGCCCATGAAGTTGCTGCGACATCGTTATCTCATTTCTACTTCCTCAAGATTTTTATTACCGCAAATAGTAATGTAGACATGATCTTGAGAACATGGAACCCAAAAATTCTCATCCTCCCGTGGTGATTCTCCGCTGATTTCAGGTCTCCCTGCTCTCGAGAATTCATCACAGGAATCTCGTTTCATTTCTTGGATACTGCCAACAAGGAGGGAAGAACATCCTCGTCTACGAGTTCATGCATAATGGAACCCTAAAGGACCACTTGTTCGGTGAGTTAACTTAATTCCCTGTTGGGGCCGGCTCTTCAGCCGTGCTGATGATCTCTATTCCGAGCCGTGCAGGATCTCTCGCCCGAGAACGGAACTTGAGTTGGATCAAGCGGCTCGAGATAGCCGAAGATGCTGGAAGAGGTCGAATCTCTAGAACTCGGCCCTTCGATCGCGTTGTGATTTTTTCCTCTTTTTGTTTTCTTCTCATAATATATATATAATTCGGCTTGCAGGGATCGAATATCTTCACACGGGCTGCACGCCGTCGGTCATCCACAGGGATCTGAAGAGCAGCAACATCCTTCTCGACAGCAACATGAGGGCCAAGGTCTCGGATTTCGGCCTGTCCAAGCTCGCCGTGGACGGGTCCTCCCACGTGTCCAGCATCGTCCGAGGAACAGTCGGATACCTGGACCCCGAGTACTTCCTTCCCCCTCCACTCTTCAGCACTCTTCTTGGCTTCTCATCAGCAGCTTTCAACTCCATAAGAAACGCAATCGATCTCGATTTCGCAGGTACTACGTCTCCCAGCAGTTGACCGACAAGAGCGACATCTACAGCTTCGGGGTCATTCTCCTGGAGCTGATCTCCGGTCAACAGGCGATATCAAACGAGAGGTTTGGAGTCAACTGCCGCAACATCGTCCCCTGGGTGAGTTCTACTCCCGTGGCCTAGAATTGCGGGTCTGGGTCTAAAAATTGGGCACCGCAGGGGAAGGCGCACATCGAGAGCGGGAACATTCAGGGGATCATCGACCCGGCTCTGGAGAACGAGTTCAACATCCAGTCGGTGTGGAAGATAGCCGAGAAGGCGCTGATGTGCGTGCAGCAGCACGGGATGTCGCGGCCGACCATGTCGGAAGTCCTCAAAGAGATCCGCGAGGCGATATCCATCGAGAAAGGGATCGACTCGGGTGGAGACGACGACATCGACATCATCTCCGGACAGCACTCCAGACACTCCTCCGCCCACCTGGACCCCTTGGACGCGCCCATCTCTGGGCCAAGCAACCTCTCCTTCGGCGACAACATCTTGCTCCCCTCCGCCCGGTGAGGAGGAGACATCAAGAACCAGGGTTTTTTCTTCTATACTTTCCTTGTTACATACTGCTACACATGACAAGGTTGCAATTTTGGCGATTTTAAACAGAAGAAGACGGGGGTGACAGACACTAGTGAGTGTTTCAGCGATCCACTAGCATTGCGAGCAACAAACAGCAACGAGAGAGCAGAGAAACAAGATGTCTGTGTACAATCTCTACGGCGACAAAGGGTAACCAAAAGGAAAGCTAAAAGAGACAAAGGGCCGAGCGCGTCTTCGGTCTTATTGCGAGAGAGATAGAGAGGAAGGTGACTCCCCCCAACTAGTACACGCCCGTTTACTCCACCGCATCCTTGCTTCAACAGTCGGCATAACTGGAGACGACCACGAGGATAAGTCAACGGGTGAGAAAATCGTCATCTGAGCGAGCATATGTATGTATGTGCTTCAGGTTTCTTCTTACCCGAGTTCGGAGAGCTTTAGGTGGGCTTCGGCATAGTCGGCGAAGAAGGCGTCCTCGTCCTGATGGCACAGGAGTGAGAGAGAATTGAGTGAGCTGGTGGGAATCATAAATGGCGGAAGCGCGGTCGTAGAGGGGGAGGGGGAGGGCTTACAGCCGCGTATTTCTCCACGAGGGGGCGGAAGACGGGGTCATTGAGAAGGGCTTTGTCAGATGGCAGCTGGAGAAGGCCTTCCTTCTCCCCCGTGAGGAGCTCCCTAAGAGAGAGAGAGAGAGAGTAACACTGATTACATTGTGGAAAGGAAGAATGAAGAATGAAGTACAAAGGAGTGTGTGTAGCTTCGTTCTCACTTGAAGTAGGAGTTGTCGAAGATGTTAGGGTTTACGGTCCAAGGGCCCTCGAAGCCGGAACGTTCCTTGTGTGCCCTACCCTGCGAAGTTACATAGAGAATCGCGTTACGTCGGCGGAAAAGTTGACGAGGATGTAATGGCGGGCAAAACAGTTATACGAACCAGGGTGTGGCCTCCAGAGAGAGCGACGATGTCCTGGTCGCTAAGGCCCATCTGGGCACCAAACACATGTCTTAGGTGGTCGGAGCCTGCGTGGAAATATGAAGATCACGTGACTGATACCAAAACCCAGTGGAACGATCGGCAGTAGGAGGAATTGAAGCGCTTTACCTTGAGTGGCATCTGGCAGACGACCCTCCGGAGGGGGTGTTGGCTTGTCCTGAAAACGTTAGAAAATAACTTCAGTGGGCATTAACATTAGAAAGAACGCAGACCCCCACCCACCATACCTCCAAACTACATGAAGACTATGTTCGTATGGAAAGAGAGAAAAAGGCGGAAGAAGAAGAGGCAATCGAATCTTGAACAAAACAAGGGCAGATGTAAAAATTCAACAAATCAGTAAACCATGTGAGTGAGGATGACAGTACTTAGCAAATCCTATTTACTCGGGTTCCCAAAAATTCGCAAGATTTACTGACAACGGCTCTTCCGGCCTTAAAAGAGCATCAAAAGAGGAAAACGGGGAACTGAATCATAGAAGAATTGCCTCCCACGTTGCACGGGTTGCACATAAGAAGAACAAGTAACACGCTGCCTTGCTGTCGGAAGAAAAGTGTATGTGTTTTATTCTGTTTTTGGAAGAGATAAATGGCATGCATTCCCTAGTAAATAAATAATTAAAGCGACATGCTAGATCGGAAGCGTATTGCCTTGGAATTATCCGGTAAGATTTCACTAATTTGAGAAGAACACCGGGAAAATGAGCAGATGTGTATACGAATTCATCCAAATTAATTGAGGAAGTAATGGCGTTTCTTTTTCCGATCATTATATGCCGAAAAGAAGCAGACAGGCGATAAGAAAAGAGTATATAGTTATAAAAATCACAGTAAACACATAGCCTTCAGGTTTGCATTGATATGCCGAGATTATTTTTTAGATGTCGAATAGATGAATAATCAATAAAAACAAAAACGATCAACGCATCTTCAGGTTTGCAGAGAAAAAAAATCCGACTTCATCGGTTCAAACCTATATACGTTCTCAGAAAAATAAGGGTGTCAGAGATCTCTTACCTCCCTTCCGGGATGGAAAGGGACATCAGGTCCTCCGGTGACCTCGACAGCGGCCACCCCTGCCAACTGTCCAATGAAAGCAATGAACAAAAAATGACCTACTGTGAGGGATAGAAATACTAGAGCAAGAGAACGGTTGGAAAAAAATCTATACGAAAAATCTAACCTGATAAAAGTCGGCGTAGGAGAGGATGGGGAACTGTTCCTTGATCGGCGCCAGCAGACGGACTGCTATGTCGAGACCAGTATTGGCTACGTGCGCGAGCTCGGCAGGGTCCCTAATGGTCCCGAACGGCCCGCCAGTTTTCGTCGCCATGTCGAATGTGCCCGCAGAGTGCCATCTGGTGGTCATTGCATCGTAACAGCAGTAAGCATATCGAGATGTATAGATCAGGATCAAAATCGATTTAACAGAAATGGTGTTCGATGTAACGAGGGAGATCGTCAGGTAGCCATTCTTACGCTAGACGTAGCATCAAAGGAGCACAACTCTTGTCGGCAATGAGGCCACGGAGCTTCCTCTTCGCCTTATCAACGGCCTTCAGGTACTCCTCGCTCGGTGTCGGGTACGACTTCCCCATTTCTCCCGCTTGATCTGGAGTCCCTTCAAAAACAGAATATACTGAGATCCCCGTGATCGGCAGACGGAACGACGATCTACAGGGAGAACGATCTAACAAAAAAACGGAAGAAAAAGATGTAGAGGCTTCATCCCCACCGCGCTCACTGAAGATATCTGACAGCTGACGAACACACAGGCAACACTGCTGCGAGGAAGGCCGCATCGACATTTATACAACTTGGAGAAGAAGTTTCTAGCAACGAGCTGTACACCGTCCGATCGATTGATCTCACGGTCTACAGCCCATGTCATTCTGACGGTGCAGATTTCCCAGTGCTAGCTGATGGGTAGCCCCGAGCGTGTGGCTGCCAACCTCCAGCCCGTCAAAAGGTACATCCGAGATCGAATGAACCTCAAAGAACGGAATTTCATTTTCGTCCTGTAATAAAAGATATACTCTCATTGGCCCTCAAATTTAAAACAACATCTTTTTTATCCTCAATTTATGCGTGAAAACATCGGAGGCCAAACTATTTGAGGACTAAAAGCATAAATACAAATATTGAATGGATTAAAATTAAAAAGCTTATAAATACATTTATTTATTTATTCCAGTGTGAACGCGAAGTGGACGAAATGATTCGCTCTCAGTCTCCAATCAGGACGTGACACGTATGGTAGTAGCTGCAATTGCTCAGGCACGGAAGAGACCAAATCGGTGGGGGACAAGGATCCGTCGCCACGTGAGAGAAAATTAAATGGACGGATGCGATCGCATAGATCACTACTGAGCCTCCGATTAAGAAAGATTTGTCATTACATAAGACATCAGCGGACTTCGAATATTTCTTTTTTACCAAGTAACCGGATATTCGGATCCATTTGGGGAAGCGGGTTCAATCCATAACCTTAATAGGCCACATTAGCGCCCCGTCTGTCCAGTATGACCCAGTCCATTTAAATGAGCTTTATTATTTTGGCTTAAATGAAACCGGTCTACATGATTTACCAGTCTAGCTTGCTGTTTCTGGAATTGGGGCCGAAAGTTAAGCCCAGAGCTTTATCTGCTCTCTCTCTCTCTCTCTCTCTCTCTCTCTTTGGGGATGACGTGGCCCGACCCGTCATTTCCCTGCCTCGTTCCCTGACTGGGTTAACCTCGCTATTCGATCCGGAAGAAGAGTCAAACCAGTTGACTTCCTCTTTACGATAAAAGCCATGATAAGCCCCACTTGGACGTACGGTCATCCGTAGTGGGCGGGAGGAGCCGACGGCAAAGGATTCCTGGTCAGAAACATCCATCGCCGCGCGGGTATTCAAAATTGACGTGCTGTAATGGAACCCTTCCCCACGGGTTGTCGATCACCGAGGGAGGGAGAGAGAGAGAGAGAGAGAGAGAGAGAAGAGCATTATCAGAACTAGTCTGCAAGAATTATCTGATATTTAGTAATAGAACAAGTGTCCGGGGAAGACCAAGTCAAATAATTTTACGTGGAAGGGGTAGATTTGGAGGAGGACGTGATCCTTCCTACCCGTCAAATATAGTTTTCGCGTCGGCTTCAAGAGAAGAAGGTTGACCCAGTTATGCATCCGGTGACCTTCCTACCCACATCCGCGTCCGCGCCGGATGCCCTTTGCCGGATCAACGATTTACGTTGACTGCCGCATCTCCAGATACGACCAAAGTCGGTCGCTTGTCGTTGTGGCGTTGGAGCTGGTTTTCCCATCGCGACGGCAAAATCGTTGCCCGCCTGAAAATCCGAGGTCCGAAGGTTGGGCTTCCTCTCCCGCAGTCTCCGCCATGCCCAGTTGGAAGGTCTGGCCGTCTCCGCCGCACGGCGCTCGCACTGTCTGGCTGGAACTCGTCGTGCGCGACCTGCGCGGGCTGCCGCTGTACGGCGTGCAAGATGTAAGGGGAAGCCGTGCGGATGTGCTGGTGCAATGGGTCGGCAGCGGGGGGAAATCGGGCATCTTCCGGCGGGGGAAGATAGAGAGGAGCTGCACCGCCCGGCAGCCCGTCTCGTTCGACGGCGCTGTCAACTGGCGGGAAGGATTCCACCACCAGTGCAAGCTCAAGATGGCCGACTCGCAGAGATTCAGAAGCTGGATCGTTGATCTGGAGATTCACGTAAGTTCGCCGCGTCCCCCTTCGACATCTTCAGGATCGTCTTCTAAGATTGGTTTGGAATTACCGTACCAGGTTTTTGGTTCGATATCAAATGATTATACTTCGTTCCTCGCGAAGACTCGCCTGGATATCTCCAAATTCGCATCCGATGATCAGGAGAGAACTGTCGGAATCCCCGTCAGGTGCATAGTCAGAGGATTCATGGCAGAGGCTTTGCTGACGGTGAGCTTCTGATCATCTCAAGGCCCACAATTTTCCTCTCTCGGCGGAAATTTTCATCTCCGTGGTCGTTTATCGCAGGTCACGCTGAGAATTTCCACCCGCCAAGCCAAGGGAAGCATCCTCCCCGCGATCACCAGGGGCTTGAGTCTGCGCGCTTCCTCCAGCAGGGCATTTCCGCATACAGATAGCGGCGATTCCAGACCGTCCCTAGGGAGAATTATGTCGTGGAATGGAGCGATGGGCAGAATCCTGCCCGAGAAGGCGACCAGGGGCGCTGGCGCCACCGAGGTCAAGGGCGACCGACGGGTTCAATCCAGGGTCGTTCCCTCCTCCTCAATCCCCTCGCAACCTCCGGATGAGGAGAAAGATGGCCTTCTCATGGTCGGCTGGTGGGAGGAGAAGACCGTGACGAGCAGGGACGGTCTGCTGGAGCTCTCCACCGAGATATTCTTCGCCTCCATCGACCAGCGCAGCGAGAAGGCCGCCGGAGAGAGCGCCTGCTCCGTTCTCGCCGCAGTTTTCGCCGACTGGCTACACAGAAACCCCGGGGACCTCCCCCTCCGCTGCCAGTTCGACGAGTTGGTGCGGGAGGGATCGTCGGAGTGGCGCAGCCTCTGCGCTGACGCCGGCCACGCCGCGCGATTCTCCGACCGCCACTTCGACCTCGACACGGTCCTCACCGCCAGGCTCCGGCCGCTGACCGTCCTCACCGAGAAATCCTACGTGGGCTTCTTCGCCATGCCCGACGAGGGGACCGAGCTCATCCAGGGAGCCATGTCCTTCGACCAGATGTGGGACGAAGTCGTCGGCGCAGAAGCGGGGGAAGATCGGGTCTACATCGCCGGCTGGAACGACCATTTCTTTGTCCTCAAGGTGGAGAAGGAGACCATCTACCTCATCGACACCCTGGGGGAGAGGCTCTTCGAGGGCTGCAACCAGGCCTACATCCTCAAATTCGATAGAGAGAGCAGAGTCTTTTCCAAAGATCTGGCGGCGGACGGCGGAGGAGGCGGCGCCGCCGTCAGACACTTGGTCTGTCGTGGGCTGGGCTCCTGCAAGGAGTTCATCAAGGGCTTCCTCGCCGCTGTGCCCCTGAGGGAGCTTCAGGAAGAGATGGAGAGAGGCTTGACCCGGGAAGACCGCCACCATCGCCTTCTGCAGATCGAGTTTCACTACACATCCCCTCTGTGACGTGGGTACGTGGCCGTTCCGGAGTCGGCACTGTTCATATATCCGTGTATTCTTTGTCAGCTAGCGGTGTACAGTACAGATAACGATGATTCGATTGGCTATTCGCGCGTGAGTCCACGTCTGCATCCCATGCATCCGCACGTGTGAGATTCGGAGTATTTGCTCACAAATGTTTCGGAATTTCTTACGTGTGAGATTCGTGGGAATTTAGCTTCCGAATAACCCTATAAATCGGTGACGTGGACGATCCCGATCCCGACTCGGATCGGATCGGAGAGAGACTGGGTGAGAGAGGGGGAGGGAGAGGAGTATTTAAATCTTCTCCTCCTGCCTTCGTCCTCCATTCTGTGGAGTGGAGGGAGAGAGATAGGGGGAGATGGCGAACAAGCTCATCAGCCAGATTGGTCTTCCCAAGTCCATCGCCAACATCTTCGCCGCCCGCAGCATCTTGACAGCGAAGGTAATCAAACACCGGGTGTTTTGTTGAGTGGAAGGGGAAATCGATCTTGAATGCATTATCACATTCTTCATCCTGTCCAGGATGCTCTCTCGCTGACGGAGTTTGAGTTAATGGCTCTGCTGGACATCGACCTCGACCAAGTGAAGTCTGCGGTCTCCCATATCAGTGCAATAATTTGTCCTCCACCGCAAACTGTACGTCTCTCTTCCAGCTGTCTCGTCCATTTATGCAGTGTGGCATCGTCAGTTCAGCTCTCTAGCCTACTTCTAGATGAATCTTCTTTCTCGGTTGCATTCCAAGGCACTGTCGCTCATGGAGGAACGAATGCAAAATGAGTTCTCCTCAGGACATTTTCCCACTCTTCTGAAAGGTCTCGACGATGCATTATGCGGAGGTATACCATTTGGAAGCCTGACGGAGTTGGTGGGTCCGGCAGGAATCGGGAAGACACAGGTAAGGAGTTTTCCGTTTCATCCTCTCCTGCAGACTATCATCAATCTTCTCAACCTATCGATCCCGCTGCAGTTTTGTCTTAAGCTATCCTGTTTGGCGGCCTTGCCAGCTTGCTTCGGTGGCTTAGATGGTCGTGTAGTGTACATAGATACTGAATCGAAATTCAGTTCACAGAGGTATCTTGATTCACTACAAGAGTTAATTCTGTTTTAAAGATTTTCTGCCCTGCGAATTAATATAGGAACACTTTCACAGGATGATCGAGATTGGAATTAACAGTTTCCCACAGATTCTTCAAGCAAATGGAGTTCTGAAAGAGGTTTGCAAAATCACCCTGAAATCTCACGGACTGTTTGCGTTTTTCGGAATCGTTTCTTGTCACAGGAATTCATCTGCCAAAATGCTGCTTGTTTTAGGCTCATCAATTGCTATTTTGACTTGATGGGATGTCTCTCTTAACTTAAATGAACAATACCGAAGAACTCTTTTCTCCCTGACCTATTTGAAACTATTTATCTTTCTGCAGATGGCTGGTAGGATAGAAGTCATGCGGCCTTCATCACTGAGTGAATTCATGGAGAGGTATAAACTCTGCAGTTAACCAAGTTCTTGTGAATGGTGTTCTGTTTTTGTTGGATAAATCCAAATGTTGTATGTCATGCAAGTAAAGTGGCTACAATAGGCCATTATTTTCTTTTGTTTGAAACACCTAAAAATTGTAGGATACCTTTTGTGGCTTCACATAGGCCTTGATTTTGTTGTTCTTATATTACTTAGATCGATAAATGGGTGTATAGGTTTTCATACATGTGCTTAAAAAATAATCCGACCCATTTAAGTAAATACGAGTTGATTCCACGCAATATCATCTTCAAAGTTCCATTGTCATCTTCAATTTATCCTGTGCAGCATCGATATTTTGTTGTTTGTGGATACATTTTTTTTGTCCTAGAACTGATGCACCGTTTTTCTCATGCGAACTCAAATTTACCTGCTATATGCAGTTCCTATTTTATTGTTTTTTATTTATTTATTCGCACCTAATAACAGTAAGAGGTCGTTGCTGATGTGATTTCTTCAGTTTGCAGAAAATCAGGCTGCCACTTATCCGGCATGAAATAAAATTGCTCATTGTCGACAGCATAGCTGCCCTTTTCTCTGGGTGAGTTTACTTTCTCTTCGAAATCATCAGTTCCTGCTAGCATCATGCAAATACATAATATTTAGGGTTAATCAGGTCTAGGCACACGTAAGCCATTGGACTTAGGGACGAGACTCCCATCTTTTCACTGTCAAGGGGGAGAGAGACCAGGCAGTGAGGGGCATGTGATAGAGCAGTTGATGCCGACGGGTGGTGATAGGTAGAGATGCCTACTGACCCCCCAATGGGCGTGGGAGAGGGATGGCGTCATGGGCTGGTGTGAGAACAGATGGAGAGGCTCGGCAGCAATTGAGAAGATGGGGTGAGAGTGGGATGGCAGTGGAGGCAGGAGGGTACAGCAGGAGAGACATGATGACGCTTGAGAAGTGGCATTAGGGATACAGGGAGACCTCATTAAAGATTCATTATGAATTGTTAGTTTTTTGGAAAATGTTTTATTTAATTATAATTATATTATTTATCGGAGTGTAGTGAAAGGTTCCAGAGGGACAGGTTCTGAATTTATGGGTACTATACGAAGATCTGCAGAACCATGCAAAAATAAGAGGGATTATTCCTAAATCCAGTATTTTGTGAGGACATAAACCTATCAGTCCTAATTTTTAATAACACATGGTATGCTTTTCAAAAAAGACGCACTTTATTTGTATCTCTTTATTTCTGTTGCTGAGTTTTCATCTAGCTCTAAACTTTTTTTTCCCTTCAAGACCATGGGGAGGATAAAGCACCCATATTCCATTGTACCCATTACGGTGCATGATTGATGGCCAGGCTCGTAGTTAGTATGTATACCCACACGTATAATTTGCAAGCTCTTAAACATACTCACTTCCACCAGATGCTACTATAGAATTGTTTAGATTTAGGCAGTACCGTGAGTGGTTGTGCCAGATTTTCTAGATATTATTTATTTTCCTTCCATGAATATTTTGGTTTCTGCATGTAATGCACATGATCTTAGTTTGTTAAGAGTTGCAGGGAAAACAATAAAGGCATACGAGGTCGTCAGCAACATTCATTGGGATGGCCTCTTTCATATCTCAAGTAAGTATACTTACCATCAATTTCTTGTTGGGAAGGCCAGCTGAATAGCTGGGTATATCTTTATCCTCATGTCACTCTGTAATAGTGTTTTAACTGCATTTCCAAACATCTATAGATCAGTTGCTGAACTTTCGCGGACACCTATTATTGTGACAAACCAAGTTCGAGGCCAGAGCCACAATGAATCCATTCAATATCCATTCCAAGGTATGGCACTTATTTCAAAAATGTATTTGACAGAGAGACTGACTGAGAATGTTCTCTGCAGGTCCAAGGACTGACCCCATTAAAAATTCTGAGGTCCTTGAGTCTCATCTAGTCCCTGCTTTGGGAATTCAATGGGCTCACTCTGTAACAATCCGTCTCATTTTTGAGGGTCATTCAGGTCAGCTTTGACTCAACATATCAAACTTTATCTAAAATTTTGCCTGCATAGACCAATTGTTCAGGTTTGGTTTCACATCTTATTGAAAAAGCAACCCCGTTTAAACTTTTGATCGAGTTGGCCAAAGATTTTGGCCAAGTCAATTAAAATCCTTTATTATCTCCCGTACCCTGTTCATTTGATGTCTTCAATGAAGATATGTATAATATTTTCTCATAATTGAAAAAAGTTTGCATGGAGTGCGTCACGGCAGCTGATCCATATCAAGATACGTGGTAAAGTAGTCTTCTTTGTGGTATACAATCAGGTGCATGCGTGGACTAATTTAGTGCCACAAATCTGATGTTGTCTTTCAATGTGACTCGTATAGTTATGTGACATGTGACGGGCGACTTTTTGTTTGTCTTTTTATTCCTTTGTAAAATAGTGAATAGGTAAATGCGTGGCTTGGTGTTAGGTGTCCTGTAATTGGCTAAGTGAGCTCCTAACTATATAGGCATAGATGGGTCTCTTTGAATACTTTCTATTGCATAGGTCAGCGAGCCTCAGCAGTCTTGACTTGTGTAGCTGGCAGGTAGGTAGCTGGGGTTATCCATCTGAAAAATCACATATTTTTGTGGATAAATGATGCACCTTCATAACTAAGCTTCTTTCCCATCCTTCCGAAGACATGAAAAAAAGTCAAGATGCATGCAAGAAGCCCCGGGAAAATTATAATTCTGACTTTCTTTTTTTTCTTTTTTTTCTTTTTTTTCCCTTGATATGAATGCGATTTCAGATCACCAGAGGTTTCTAAAGGTTGCCAAGTCCCCCTTGTCCCCTCCGGTGGTGTTCCCTTTTACTGTTGATTCATCTGGCATTCGATTACTGAGCGATGACGGCGTTGTGGTGATGGGCCCAGACATAAACTTGATCCGTTCTCATGGTCTGTCCGGTGAGATTCTTCCATCAACGGGTTTCATCTGTCCTTGTTCGGTAATTGTTCACTTTATTTTTAAAATTCAGGCTACAGCATCTTTTATGGAAACGATGTGACAACTCCCCAAGTAGTCAGCTATACTTACTCCTTGTGAAAGGAAATGAAAGCAACTTTATCGGATCCAGGTAAACATATATTCTTAATGCGGTGAGTAGATGTAGCAATCAAACTGCTCATTTTTCTCCCCAACTAATGACAGTTCAACCATACTTTACATCTCATCTCTTTGTCTAGTGCTGATCTGACACGTGAACCGATTCCTGAATTACCCACATTAAATGTGTATATTTAGGTGGACAACTTTTAAAAATAAAATTGTGAGAAAACCCCCCCTTTTTATTATTATTGCCTGCCTTGTTTTCTTTATATTTGCAGTGCGGATTGTACTACAGTTTCCAAAGAAAGTAATTGGACTTTGTAGGTTCAGTGGCCCTGCCTGAAACGAACATCCTTTTTCTTCTGATCTAGGTTAATTTTATATCCTTGCCTAGGAGAAAATAGGATACAATCTGCTTACGTCCCTTGTCTTCAGCCCTTTCCCATTTAGTATCCTCCAGATGTAGGGAACTGCTTCCTCCCAAGTCAACCGTCCCCGAAGCAGGCGCCGCCTGTCAGTTGGCGTAGGTGCTCTGTACGATCGTCCTTCTTTCTTAAAAGAACCTGATTTTTGGCCCTCTCTGAAGCTTAAGAGCCGCTGACGACGGCTCAGTGATTATGGCTACAAACTGTGTCCGCTCTCCATTTACCCATTATTCAACTCTTCTATGAGGCCCAACTACCCACCCGTAAGGAGTCGACATCCGTTAGATAACTGCTCCATTAGGGTTTGGTTTAAGATCCGAAGGGCTGACTGCGACGACTCTTTTTTCCCTTTTTCAGGTAATCTGTGTCATTATTCTCAGAGAGCGAGAGAGAGAGAGAGAGAGAGAGAGAGAGAGAGAGAGAGGGGGGCCACCATGGCAGCAACCTCCTCCATTTGGCATAATGGTGACTGGGCTGGCCAGCCTGGTGGGCCATGAGGGCTGGTTAATGTCACGTCACAGTAGTGGGCCTAGGCGAACACCGGGCCAAGTGGGCTTTTTAATGCTGCAGGGAAACACATGAGGGGGCCCCATCATGGTTCGCCTTTGATCCTTATCCTGTGGGCCACCCCAATCACTGTGGTGGGTTCATGTAGCCATCACAGACCATTGAGAAGAGAAAGTAGCCTTCTGGTGGGCCCGGTTGGGGTACGTGGTCGTTAATTGTCTTCGGGCCGGGCTTTTGGAAGCATGGACCCCCGTTGTGGATGCGCTAACGTGGAAAGTCGCAGGATTATCCCATCCGACAACCACGTCGGGATCCGTTCCGGGCCGGGCTCCGGGTTGGGCCGGCCCACTAGCCTCTAGTACCCGCGGTGTGGGCGAGATATGATGGATTTGGTCGGCGCATTCATTCCTTGACCCCGCGGTTCCGCTTTTTTTCTTAGTTAGTTAAGGTGGGCATTCATGTGATCTCTCTCTCCCTCTCTCTCTCTCGCTACAAGTTGATTGAGAGAGAAAGTGGGAGAGGGACTTGAGCGAGCGGATGCGGGGAGGACACGTTGGCTCGATACCTCGTACACTCCCGCCGACGGAGATCAAAGGAAACTACCACAAAAGGAAGACAGAGTCCGCCGACACTCCTAAAAAAGGCAAAGAGAAGTGTATAAATGCGCCGGGTTGTCTACGTTTCCTGTAGCCGTCGGGAAGCTTGACCTTTGTGTGGGGCCCACCAGCCGTCACCGACGCCCAATGGCGTGCATAACCGGTTTCGTCCACGACCCAGCTTCGACGGCTCTGATCGATAAACGTGTTCTCCGCTGTATCTATCACCTCTTGATTAAAACGTTCCTCAAGTTTAAAGCATCGAAGGCTGATTGTCTCCTTTTTATTCCATGCAAAGCAATGCAAGGGAGCCACGTGGCAGCTTACTTGACCTTCCCCGCTGGTTTACTGCTGTTTATCACCGCCAGCTGTAACCTTATCCACCTGAAGGTCGTGAAAGTGGGTTAATCATTACGAGATTGCGGCTGCCGCCACGTCCCCCCTGTCTCCTAGAACGCTAGACAGCCGTCCGATGATAATTCGCCGGCCACGATAGGGCGACGGCACCGCCGCCACTGTTCTTCCGAGGTTCTCTACTTAACGTGGCTTCTAGTCTCTCTCTCTCTCTCTCTCTCTCTCTCTCTCCTCCCTTCTCGAATGCTTGACTTTTAGCATAATCCATGTTTCGCTGAATCCTCATAGCCCCGATTCCCTCTCCTCAAAACGCAGGCAGAGGAGACCGACTCGCCCTCGGAGCTGCAGCTTAGAAACCTTCCAGAAGTCGAAATTGCTCAGGAAGAAGGGGACGGCGGAGGAGGAGGAAGGACGGTGCCCGAGGATGTTGGATCTCAATGTTGCCTCCGACGACGAGCGCTCCACCCAGGGGGAACCCTACGACGGCGAGAAGCTCCAGAAATATCCAGGTAATGCCGGTGTGGATGACTCCGGCTCGTCCAACTCCTCAATCCTCAATGCGGAGGGCTCCGTCAGCGCCTGCGACGAAGATTCATGCTCCACCAGGTCCACCTTTCGCTTCGGTATCCTCAAGGAAGCCGGCGACGAGGATTCCGAAGGTGTGGAGAATCGAGATTTACAGGAGGACGAGGCGAACAACATTGATTCTAAGTTGGCCGCTACCCGGCCAGAAATCGTTACCTGGCAACTGTTCCCTCCCGCTGCTCCTCGGGAAGTAGGGGGAAGTGGCTTCGTTCCTCAGGCTGTAGAGATGATCCCTCCATTACCATGCTTTCCGTCATCATCAGAACCGCACGGGGTAGATCCCAGAGTCTCCCGGGGGAACGTCAACGGGCAGCCAGAATTTAGGTTGCTCCAGCAGCAGCAGCAGCAGCAGCAGCAGCAAGTGAAAAAGAGCAGGCGGGGTCCTCGTTCAAGGAGCTCTCAATACAGGGGCGTCACCTTCTATCGGAGAACGGGCAGATGGGAATCACACATCTGGTTAGTATGGCCGTTCTTTCGAAGCTCCTGAGACCCTCCCTTCCTCCTTGGCCTTCTTTGATCGGAATTTTCTCCCTTCCTTGCGCAGGGACTGCGGAAAGCAAGTGTATCTGGGTAAGAATTCTTCTCATCTCTGGACAAAGAAAGTGTGCTTTGAAGTGATGCTCATCTTTCGCCATTTTTTCGCCAATTGGGCGCATCATCAGGTGGGTTCGACACCGCTCACGCTGCCGCGAGGTCAGAAAACGTCTTTTATTTTCTTTCCTCCATTGCTCTGATTATGTTCTTGGCACAGAACAAAAATATAATCAGAGGTATCTGCTTGGTTACAGGGCCTACGATCGCGCTGCGCTTAAGTTCAGAGGTGTTGAGGCAGACATCAATTTCAACCTCAGTGACTACAACGAGGAGCTGAAACACGTGAATTCTGCTTCTCTAGTCCCTAGTCCCCTCCGAGAGCTTCTCTATCCGATTACCATAATCTTGTTCTCTGTTACCTTCTTTTGTTTTCTGCAGATGAGGAATCTATCAAAAGAGGAATTCCTTCACCTTCTGAGGCGCCAAAGCACAGGATTCTCAAGGGGAAGCTCCAAATTCAGAGGGGTGACCCTCCACAAGTGTGGTCGCTGGGAGGCCCGCGTTGGACAGTTTCTGGGCAACAAGTAAATATCTATCCATCATCGTTTTGTTCTCTGCAGAACTGAATCGGACCAAGATGATTCGGAGTTGCTTATGCTAAAAAAAGAAAGAAATCAAACGGGGAATTCGGTAATCAGTCTTTTTCTGATGAGGGCACACTGATTCTGCGCAGGTATATATATCTCGGATTGTTTGACAGTGAAGTCGAAGCCGCAAGGTTCTATATATCTACATCTCTTCTCCCTTATTATCCTGGTTATGGGTCGTGAAGGTCTGCTCCATGATTTCATCTGGGTTATCCTCTGGCGCTCATCTTTGTCTCCTGTTTCTGGTCATCAGGGCTTACGATAAGGCCGCCATTAAATTCAACGGAAGGGAAGCCATTACAAACTTCGAGCCGAGTATTTATGGGGAAGAGAGAACTGCTGAAATCGATGCCGATGGTATTCCTCACTACAGACCCGCCCCTTCCCCTTTCTCCTCTACTCTCAAGACTCTACCTTGGAGCTCATATTTCACATTTGACAGGATCTAACCGTAAACTCGACCTGAACTTGAGCATATCTCAGCCTACAGCTCCTGGTTCAAACAATGGCGTGGATAAAGCCGGGCTCTGTTATCAGAAGGCCCACATAGAATCACCAGATACTGAGAAACATGGGGTAACCATTTGATGACTCCTCTTGATTCTATCAGTGGTTTGTTTATTTTATAAAACTATATTGAATCAAATTACTATGATTGCTGTTCATTATAATTGATTTATTTTCTTCATTATCACATGCCCTCCTCGGCATGTGACGGATATTCGGCAGGACTTTGCTGAATATATGGTAGTTCCTGATGGATATTGTCCCTGCGGTTGACTTGGGATTGATATTTACGCCTTGCAAGGTCTGTGTGGTGTCGGTGAGGACTGATGATTTGGTTGGCCATTGTCACAGGTTGACTACAGCACATTGCTTAAGGCAAGCCAACCCCATCACTTAAGGATGACCAATGAGAACCCTTCTCTCTCGACCTCCCCATTCCTCTGGTACCTTCCCAGATTTGAGGTGACCACCTTTCTGGGTTTACTCAAAATAGTATTTTCTTTTTGCCCCCGTGGATTTATTCACGTTTCACTGTATCTAATCTCTTTTTTCATTTCCTCTCTCTCTGTCTTGTTTGCTTGCTCACTGTTCATTTCCATTTTTAGCAACAAAGAACGTCTGAGAAGAGGCCAGAGGCGGGTTTTCCAGCTCTTCCCACCTGGTCCTGGCAGCAAGCACCTGCGTCTACTCCATCGCCGCTGCTCTCTTCTGCAGCATCATCACGATTCTGAGGAACATCCCTTTCGACGGTGGGCTCTTCCACCTGTTCTGCCGCTCATCAGACATGCCAGTTTCACGAGGAAGTCAACCCCCCCTTATCTCTCCCCCTCTATTGAATCACCTCCTGCTGCCCCGTGTACACCTATTGCCGACGCTCATCAGAAAATCTAGAATGAAGTCTTCTACTTCCAGATGGGGAATGGTACGAGGGCAAAGACGGTGTGATGCGAACTCGTCCTCGTTAGCCGTTTAAAGAAGAAGTTATGAGGGGGGTTCTCTTGATCGCCTTTCTAATAACTGGAAATAGGAAGCTCCAATTTTCCTGCAAATTCCATTTGATGATGCCTAAATTTAGACAGCGTGTGAAGTTTAAGGTGTTGAATTCTGACTCATCGTGAATTATCTTCATAGATATAAAAAACTGGTGATACTTTTAGTAATTTAATCTTATTATTATTAGTAAAATTTGTCTTGATAGATATAGCCGTTGACTTTATATATTTGAAAGTTTCCTTTACCGACCGCCTCTTGGTCAGAGGAGATAAGGTTGCCCTCGCACTCTGCGGACGAGGACGAATACAAGGCTGTTGAAGGACTAGTTGGACTGGGTGGGTGGGCTTTTTGGGATTCAAGCCTTCGAGTCTATTAGAGCCCAATGGGCTGATTTAGAAACTAGAAGTTCTGGTTACTTTACCGGGTGGGTGGGCTTTTTGGGATCCAAGCCTTAAGAGTCTACTAGAGCCCAATGGGCTGATATTAGAACCTAGAAGATCTAGTTATTTTATCGGGTTATTAAAACATACGTCATATTTTTTACAGAATGTGATCGAAGTATTTGGGAAAATGTCAAGGTTTGCTAATCACGTGCACAAAAAAATGAGAAAAAAAAAAACAAGAGTGAACGAATGACACGATAGGCATTCTAGAGCAATAGTTTTTTATGGGTAGGTATGAAAAAAATTCTACACGCGATGAAGCAAACCCGGAGTGTGTGATCGGTAGTTTTAATTCTTCTTTTTTTTTTTTGAAGCCGTGTTCGTGCGTTGACAATGGCGATCACGTGACGCGTCTCTGACTCGGCAATCTCAATTGGGTCAACACTACTACCATCTTACCACCTTTGGAGCGTTGGTCGTGCGGGCTGAGATAGTGTGGATATTCCGATGACTTTGATAATATGCTATTTAAACAAAAAAACCCGCGTAAAATACGTAAAAATCTCCTGGGTGATAGCTGTCCGCAACAATTGGGGGGTGGGTGAGCTGATTGAGATACGCAGTGACTTCATGATTCTTTTCCTCCACTTCTTCTTCCTCTTCTCGCACCCCCCATGGCAGCATGGGACTCTAGACGAATGGAGGACCAAGGTTTGAAGAGGCTCGACGATGACGTCACAAGATGACGCCACATAGCTGAGCTAAACATGACTTTCAGGGAATATCGGGGCTCCACCATCTCCGAGGAATCCAATTATTGGGCAATATTGGTCTACCCTTGCGTTTCGTAAGGTTCTCCAGATCCGAAGGGAACCAATCGTTCGTCTTCCTCAGGTCGAACACGTAGGGATCATCGTCGTAGTTGATGAACAAACCCTGGAGGTGAAGAGGAGAGGGAATAGCAACTGAATCTCAGACGTTCTGCTGGACGAGATGAAGAGGAACGGAAAGGGATCGACACAGGCAGACGGAGATTCTTCGTGACGAGGAAGAACAGGAAGAAATCTGAATTTACAGGCGAGGCGGGCGAAGAAATCAGGGGGAGGCGGCGACGGTGTCAGCGGCGCCGACAAGGCATCATCTCGGCGAGTTTCCTCGCCGGGATGATACTTAGGATGCGCTCCCCGGGCTGGGACCGTCTCCGGAGCTGTTGGCCCCGTTCTGACTGGTGAAGCAGACGACCGATCTAATAGTTTCGGCGAATTCCGTGAAGATCTTATTCTTGAACTCCACCCTCCGAGGGTAGGGGTTCCCTCTACCACCCCTCGGAGATTCCGACTGGGGGAGATCCATTATCGACCTCAAAGATCGCTGGAGAGGGGAGAGAAACGCAATTAGGAGATGCAGACGACGGCGGCAGTGCCGGGGCCGGAGGCGAGCAATTCTGCGTAAGATGCAGTGTCACAAGGTTAAGGTCGAGCGTACCTTGCTAACTTAGCCCCGCGCCAGGGTTACTCGCCCTTAGCGGCACCTAGCAGCCTTCTCCTCGCTGCGGAGGCTCTATTGAATAACAGTGGTTCATCGAGCCCGGCCCAAGGCTTAGAATATATTGGGGTCAATAGCTTCAGTGTCGGTAGTCCTAGTATCCGTCGTCGGATTCGTAGCCTTGGGTAGCTAGAGTGGGATATTTGCCGTCTGATTCGAAGTCCTCGCAGCGAATATGATACCCTCCTCCCAGCGATCTCTCAAAAAACCACCGAGAAATGATCCTATGGGCGCCCATGGTTTTTGAGAAAAAAATAATATTTCGGAGATTATGGACAAGAAAGGGAGCGAGAGACCTGCTTAAACGACACCAGCGGACCGTCACCGGTCTTCTTCCCGCGCTGGCGGAGAAAACCGGTTCAGGCAGGGTCCATCATTTTCGGAGCCTTCTCCGTCGGAGGGCCTTCCCTCGCCGTAGCCCCGGCGGGCATCGGCGCAGGGGAGGGCCTGCTTCGCCATGAGCTCCACAGTGAGGCGCACAGATGATTGACGGCGAGCAAGGAGAGGGCGGGGAAAAGCAACTCGCGAGTAGATTCTACCTACTGAATTCACCGTGCGTGCGTATCGCCTCGCACAGGCTACTTGGATCTCGTTTTCGTTGGTGTGGGCCCACTTGAGGCGGCGGGCAACGTCGGGATCTGGGAGGGGTCTCTCCCTCCCTTGGGAGAAAGAAGATGGCGCTCCCTTTCGGTCCTTTTGGCATCGTCTTGGACGTCAATGGGGTTGTTCTCAGAGCTTCCTCCACTCCTATTCACTCGGTTCTAGCCAGGAACTGGAAAAGGCCTTACACCGGCGACGGTGCAGGGTCGGCCTACCGTTAAACTTTCTTTCTCTCATCTCCGCAATAATTTGTTCATACCCTTGGGATTTTCGTCTGCGCGAGATGTGTGCCAGATGCAATGGAAAGGAGTGATAAAAACGAAGTTGTGGAAGCGCTGGAATCCATGACACGGGATGACCTTCTACTTTTATCACCGGGGAATTACTCCTCTGGCAGATGAGGACCTTGAGGATTCTAACGATGATGAAGTAGGGACCAAACCCTTGAATTTATAGCCTTGAAAAGAGGCTCGACGGTTTCAATCCTTTCCATCAAAAGATTGAAACTGTCGACCGGTTTCTACACGATCTTCCTCCATATCCTATTCCATAATGCCTCAAAAGCAGCCATTGCAATAACCGAGATGCACAACAATGATATGTGCAGTACACTCAACGGAAATATCTAACAATCTCTCACTTGGGTTGCATACCATGACTATTCAGTCATTTGTACATTTTTAATCTTTATGAGCTTAGAACCTGGTTATTGTCACATAAGGTAAAATGTATTAGTCTCGTCCATCAACACTCAAACATAGGACTGCAACAATTTTCATTGTGATTTCATGCAGCTAAGCCACACCAATCACTTATATTCTCATGATCAATGACATAGACCAAATATAGATATGTAGTGTAAAAAATTCAAGTAAGATTTAATTTAAATATTTCCAACGAGTCCTCTTTTATGAAGATCAATATTCAAAATAGATTAAAAATAAGATTAAATTTTATTTCTGTAGAAATATTTTACAAGTCCACAATAAAGAACATTAAATATAAACTCTCACTCAAATCACAATTATTCTCAAGGAAGAACACCCATATGAATGGCATAATCTAAAAAGATCTTAGGCAACAAGCTTTTAGTAAATGGATCTACAATTATTGAGTTTGTACCAATATGTTATGTGGATACTTCCTCATTTTGAATTTTTTCTTTGACGAATAAGTTCTTGATGTCTATATGTTTAAACTTTGTCAAACTCCTATTATTATTGGAGAATAACATAATTGATTTATTGTCACAATATATCTTGAGAGGTTTCTGAATATCACTAACGATTCAAAGCCCAGTGACAAAGTTCTTCAACCATAATATTTGATTAGATGTTTCATACATTGCAATATATTCTGCAGTCATTGTGGAAGAGGTTACAAGTGATTACTTCGCACTCCTCTATGAAAGGACTTCACCAACTAATAGAAATATATAACCTGATGTGGATCTTCTTGAATCTTGGCATCTAACAAAGTCAGAATCAATATAACCAATGATCTCTATTTGATCTGACTTCTTATATGTGAGCATGTGATCTTTAGTTCTTTGTAAATAATGCATGACTCTCTTTGTTGTTATCTAATGATCCATTCTTAGATTACTCAAGTATCTATCTAACATTCTAATAATATGTATACAAACTTGGGCATACATCATACATATTATCACCAATGGATAAAGAATGTTATGCATTTCTTTTACTTCATGATCATTTTTAGGACATTGAGTAAGATAAAATTTATCTCCTCTAGCCATATGAGTGTTTCTTAGTTTACAATTTTACTTATCAAATCTTTTGAAAATTTTCTCAATGTAGACTTATTGTGACAATCTTAGGATATTTTGAGTATGATCTTGGTGTATTTGTATACAAAAAATAAATGAGGCCTCACCAAGATCCTTCATCTCAAAGTTCCTTGACAAAATGATTTGATTTTACTTAATAAGACCAAATCATTACATACAAGTAAGATGTCATCTACATACAAAATCAAGAATATGTACCTACTCCCACTAAACCTATGGTATACACAATCATCAACTTTATTCATTTCAAAGCCATATGAAGTGATAACTTGACAAAAATTGTCATACCACTAACGTGAAGCTTGCTTGATTCCATATATGAATTTCTTTAATTTACAAACTAATTCTTTTGAGTCTTTAAACTTAACCTTTTAAGGTTGCATCATATATATGGTTTTCT